AAAGACCTAATAACTCTAAGCGACACTGAACAGTATTATAATCACCTGTTGATATTTTAAATAATTTTTAATTTATTAATTTTAATTATTATTTTTACATTTAATCACTATGCATGATGTAGATTGTAAAGAAACTTTACCTGTTAATATTTTTGACAATATTTAAATAGCACATCTGTTCAGGGCTTGGCTTTTTTGCCTTCTCAGTTACACACCTGTCAATTTAATTCTATAGCAACTCAACCTTGATCTAGTTATTTCAAGATGCACACAAAATTTCAAAAGAAAAAAAAATCTGGCTTAATTTTGTATGCAAATACATGATGGATTTATAGGGGTGTCAGAAAACTCATGATTTATTTTTCTATGTTTTTCTATGCAAAAATGTGTCCTGACTTTTCCAATGACCCAATAGAAAATGTGTACAAGTCAACACTTTTTGGCAGGGAAGGTGAAGAAACTAGGAATTTAGAAATATTCAATAAACAATGAAAAATAGAATGTCATACTCCCAGAAGGTGGAGAGCACTGACAAGTAGTGTTCTTACATAATCCTTTGCCCCGAAGCTTATTTCCCAAATAAACAGCTTTTATAGCCTGAATTATTCACATCATTTCTCCAACTTTAGTACTGGTCTATGTTGCCAGAGCTTTAAAAAATAATCTCAGCCATGTTAATTTTTATGTATTGATCCTAAATTTCTATTGAAATTAATCATTTTAACCAACAGTTTTCCTACAAAAATAATTCGGCGTAAAAAGATTAATTTAGTGCCTATGGTCAATTCTTAAGGCAAGGCAATTAATCAGGAAGGGAACATCTACCTATACAAGGCTGAGGAAAATCCATAGAATACATATGCAAATCCAATATCCTCAAGGCTGACAAGGTTCTATTATGAAACTGCTAACGTGTTTATTTGCCCCACAATAGCTGGATTTTCGTCATGAATACGCATTGAGCCCTGTAGTTATTAGCCGTGATGACTAGGTGACAGTGAGGACACTACTTGAGAATTTACATTTGACAGATCACTGACACACAGGCACAGTTCCTCTTTTTTCTCTTCACTTAAACAGGAATCATGCAATAGGAAATGAACTGCGGCTATTAGAGATTATTCAGGTTTAATAGCACACATCCTTCGAGCTGGCGGACAGAACAATACACAATGTGGCAGAATTAAACAGAGGCATCAATTATTCTCTCAGACCTGTTAATATTTTTGACAATATTTAAATAGCACATCCCTTCAGGGCATGGCTTTTCTGCCCTCTCAGTTACACACCTGTCAAGTGTTTAATTTGCCAAAGGGAAACAGTTTGATTTCTAAGGGCAGTCTTAATACTGAAGAAGCAAATTGAAAAAAAGTAAGCATTATTGAATAGAAGTAATGAGAAGGATGTGAGGGGAAAAAAATTGTAGGCTTAATTCAACATGGCATGCCAGCATCTGTCATTAATGCAACAATATGATCACGCTCGCCCATGTGCTGCATGTACCTCAGCATTTTCAATTGTGCACCCCTTTGCTTCTCTAAAAGGCAGGGGAGCATGATGGAGGAGGAGAGTCAGAAGGGTCAAAGAAGCTAGTAATAGTAAAGAAGACAGAAACAGTAGCTTGAACCTGTCATGAATATAAAATTAAACCTTTGAAGACATACCGTTGGTAGAGGATAAATAAAGTTATCCATCCATTAGATTTCTGTAGCTACTTGTTCAAAGAGCATGAAACAAATCTCACTCTTTAGAGAATTAATTGCTAAATTTTAAATATTAACAAATCGGCATTTGGTAAACTACATATAAAGTTTAAATCTAGCAGAATAAAGTCTAGAATGTCATTAATTTTTAAAGATTTATTTATTTAATTTTATTATTTTTATTTTGCTATAGGGCACATGAGTTCACCACAAAGAGAGAGGTAAAGTGAAAAGGTAAGTAAGCCGCCAGGTCCAGAACTTGAACCATCATCAGTGTTGGGGGAGTCTAGTGCCTTACCCACCACGCCACCTGCTGGCCCCTCATATTTAAATTTTAAAGTAGAAAGTAGAACAAGTTTTTGCAATGTTACTCTATACAAGGGGGAAACACAGTGGTAACAAATAAAATTTAATAGTAAGAATAGAGATTAAAGTGAGAGTCATAGAAACTGAAGTTATCAACAGTTTTTAAAAAATAAAACGTGTCATCTAAGTTTCTACTCTTGGGGAAACAAAAGAAGAAATAAGACTGGCCACAGAATCAAAAAAGGGGAAGGGCTGTGTGACTTGGGATCCAAGAAAACTGAGTTCTTGTTCCAGCTCCACGCTTTATAAAACAAGTCACTTAAACTCTCTAAACCACAATAAACATGGGTGCGGACTACATGTTTTCTTTGGTCATTTTCTGTATTCGTTTTCCCCTCTGTATGAAGAGGTAACCCAGGAGCCAAAAACCAAGGCATGTAAGATATGCCCATAGGACTCTCAGACTTCACCACTTACTCTGTCTTGAAATATATAAACATCTATCCTCAGTCGAACAAGGAGATGGTATTGTACTTAGCCACAGGATGGAAGGCTTCATAATACTAAGCTCAGCACATTTCCAAGAAGGTTTCATCTGCATCAGGTGGGACCCTAATCATCTTAGAGCTCATCTCCTACTTGCATTTCAATGAGTCATTTCATTGGTACCTTTCTTTCCTCAGACATGCTGTGCACAAATGCTCTGCAACTTACCTAAGAATGGCTTGAAGGAAAATTTCAATTTATCTTCCCTGGGCTAGTGGTATTTTCTTACACAGCTTCTAGAACTAATTTTTTCACAATGTTCCCTCTCATTTTAATCATGTTTTCATGTAATACAATAGGGGAGAAGACATCTGTTCAACTTCTTTATACTCTGAAAAAACAAACCATTTTCCACTTGGTTTCTCCAAGTTTCTCCAAGTCTGCCAATCCATTCTGAAAATCAGTATTGAAAACCAATTTTTCAATAACTTGCAAAGGAGACAAACATAACTGACATATGACAAAAATTCCTTTTTATTTTTTTATTTTTATTTTTTTAATTAAACCACAATAAACATGGGTGCGGACTACATGTTTTCTTTGGTCATTTTCTGTATTCGTTTTCCCCTCTGTATGAAGAGGTAACCCAGGAGCCAAAAACCAAGGCATGTAAGATATGCCCATAGGACTCTCAGACTTCACCACTTACTCTGTCTTGAAATATATAAACATCTATCCTCAGTCGAACAAGGAGATGGTATTGTACTTAGCCACAGGATGGAAGGCTTCATAATACTAAGCTCAGCACATTTCCAAGAAGGTTTCATCTGCATCAGGTGGGACCCTAATCATCTTAGAGCTCATCTCCTACTTGCATTTCAATGAGTCATTTCATTGGTACCTTTCTTTCCTCAGACATGCTGTGCACAAATGCTCTGCAACTTACCTAAGAATGGCTTGAAGGAAAATTTCAATTTATCTTCCCTGGGCTAGTGGTATTTTCTTACACAGCTTCTAGAACTAATTTTTTCACAATGTTCCCTCTCATTTTAATCATGTTTTCATGTAATACAATAGGGGAGAAGACATCTGTTCAACTTCTTTATACTCTGAAAAAACAAACCATTTTCCACTTGGTTTCTCCAAGTTTCTCCAAGTCTGCCAATCCATTCTGAAAATCAGTATTGAAAACCAATTTTTCAATAACTTGCAAAGGAGACAAACATAACTGACATATGACAAAAATTCCTTTTTATTTTTTTATTTTTATTTTTTTAATTGCCAGAGGACACATGCACTTGCCAGACAGACAGAGGGAGGAGAAGGCACCTCCAGTGGGGCGCGGCCACAGCACAATCTCTTCTCCATACATCTTTACAAATTCATCATATGACTTTTAAAATCATGAAGTAGAAATTTACAATAGAAAAATGTTTTTGAAGATTCTTCTCGATTTGCTCTTTTCTTTCCTACCAAAATATCTAGATTAAAAAGTTACATGACATTAAACAAATTCCTTCTCTCTTACTACTATTTGTTCTTTTGTGTTTGGCACATTTCAGAGGTTTTTTAATTAGAAGTGTTCCTTCACTGAATTATAAAATTGGAGTTCAAGTTTCATTTTTAACCTTTTAAGGCAGAATATTTGCTAGCAAGTCATCCATAACCAGTAAATCAATATTGAAAACATCAGAATGAGAACTAACTTGGATCGAAGACATAATTAGATTGACTTCAAACCTTGCGAGGATAACAACCATTTTAAAAATATTTTTTTTAAAATCTGAGAAATGGTGATTAAATTAAGTAAGTTCAAAGAACATCTGACTTCAGTTTTCATTCTGTCATTGTGATATGTTTCAATTTTAGTATAAATGCTGGGAGTTTTAATGCTCACGATTTTTACAGGAAGAAAACAACACTGGGTTACATTTAGAAGTTCTAATGTTGATCACCATCTGATGCTGTCATGGAAGCAATTGCTACTTACACTCTTTTAAGAAGTGAGAATTGCAATTCCTTTAACTGATGACAATGTAATTATTCCTTTTACTGTCAAAATAGAGGTGATTTCCCTTCCTTATACACATGATTACACATGCAAATCCAGGCTTATCTGAAATCCTGTAAGAGGACTGAATGTGTGCATCTGAATGAGCAAGATCACATGAACAATGAGCCTGCGTGGGGATGGAAAACACGTCTACAGCCATCGACTCTCAATGTATTTTTATCCTCCCCTTCTTCTGCAGGAACTCATTCTTCAGCATCCACACAGCTTTCAACACAATGTCATATCATCTACAATATACAGTAACAACCATTACGAAAATAACCAGGAGGAAAGAAGCCACAGTGAATCTGAATGTCTCGTTTAGAGGTCTAAATGACTTCATTACCTATTCATCAACACATAAGAAAAAAATCAGCCTTTCAGAAAAACACAAGCCTTCCATGTGACCTCTGCCATATCGTGAATGCCTGCTTGGGTAAAGGATGTCCTACCTGGTCTTTCAGCTGCTGTACTGAAGTCTGAAGGTTCAGAATCTGACTGAAGAGCGGGCTCTGCAGGACTGATTTCAGAAGGCTCAGTTTGTCTTCATTGGCCGCATCCCCACGCTCTCGTAACTTAGCTTGCAAGCGCTCTGCTGCCTGCAGGGCCCGATTTTTGTCTATATCAAAGAGTGGCATTAGTCACTAACAGGATTGGAAAGACACATGTCAAACCTATGAGGACTTTATGCTTGTAGAAATCCTAAAACTATGTCTTCTGAGGGCATAGAACTGTCTTTTCAACTGACTACAAGATTGTACATAAGTACAAAATTTTTACTAGAGTACAGAAGTACAAAATTGAATACTTTTTTAATATTTTAAATTTCATGCCTCCCCAAATAAGTTGTACATTTACATATGCTTCAAATCAATCCAACTGGATTGGTGTGAGGGAAAAATTAGAGGAGGGGACTATAACATGTTACATTGGGGGAAAACTTCAAAAAGTTCATGGAAAATGGAAATATAGCATGAGTTATTTTGGTATAAAAATTTTCAAATTCACACACAGTTTTATTTTATTTTATTTTATTTTATTTTATTTTATTATTTTATTTGCTAGAGGGCACATGTACTCATTGGAGAGAAAGGGAAAGTAAGAAAGTACCCCCCATGGGATATGGTCATTCTGAAATTCCTTCTCCTCCATTTCCCATTTGGACACACATGCAGGCCCCATGTGCCTTTCAAATCACCTAGTCTGGGACTTGATCTGCACAGTCAGTCATATGGGATCCAGCTGCCTTAACTACTATGCCACAGGCTGGCCGACAGAGTTTTTTGTTTTTGTTTTTGTTTTTGTTTTTCCATAAAACACATTTTCCATAAACTTTCTGAAAACCCTGATGTATTTCTCAAATCATGAAGTCTCTCACAAAGTTTGCTTGAAAGCGGAGAAGTAGGTAGATCTTATGCTATATTTAACTAATTGTAAAGTACAAAAACTAATTCAGGTAAACTATACTTAAATTCCACTTCTAGCTATTTCAATTCTTTTACAAAAATTATGTAAAACCAAGTGACTTGTGGTCTTGACAATGATGATATCTTCCTTTTTAAAAAATGTATTTACACATAGGAAAGGTTAAAAACATAAATCACTTTGATAAGAGGTTAAGCATAATGTCACCAATGAATCTCAATATCCAAAATACAGGGACTTCATATATTAAGGGGCAAAACATTCCATAATTGAAATATACTTGGATGTACATCACAATAATAAAATCTTTTCAAAATGTTACTTTTCAAGTCTTTAAATGTTCTAAAATTAAACAGCAAATATATATATACTTCAAACCAATCTAATAATCTAATCCAATTATCTATTGAGGATCTCTCATGAATTAGACCCAAAGGTGAAAAAGAAAATACTTAGAATAAGTAAGTTTTAATTAGTCTGGTATCTTACATGCATGTTTCCACCAGACAGTGAGTTTGTACTACAAATAATAGTTAAAAAGCTCTCTCTGAAACACATATACATATACACTCACACTTACTTATAAGTGAAGCTAAATTAGCTTTTAAAAGAAATAGAGTTCAGATATATGTTGTAACAGATTCATAACGGTAACAAATATTTGTATTGAAATATATTTGCCACATGACAGTAATCAAAAAGAGCGGGAATAATCACATTCTTTCCATAGCATTAAACCTGGAATTTCACAGAAACAGTGTCATTAAAACGTGAACTGACGGGACCAGCAGTTAGTGTAATGGCAATGTCGCTGGACTCCCATGTAGTCGACCGTGGTTCAAGTCCCGGACCCAGTGGCTTAAACTCACGTCGGGCACGTGTGTGTATGCCCAAGATCCTGAGAGGAGAATGGAGAAAATCCCGAGAGGAGAATGGAGGAAAAGGGTTGTTGCATGGCCCCCCCCCCCCGGGGGGGGGGTGATTTCTCACTTTCTGTCTCTCTGTCTCTCTCTGTCTTTCTGGCAAGCACACACGCCCTATAGCAAAAACCTCTCAAAACAAACAAACAAACAAACAAAAACATGAACTGACGTGGATCGTGAGTTCACAAATCAAAGGAAACTGTATTTAATCACATGCAGAATTTTAAAAGTGAATAATGACAAAGATAGACATGAGAATTTTATTCTCAGTATATATCCCATGGTATCTTTGAATTTAAATCTAATATTAACTCCCATGTCCATTCTTGGAAGGCATACAACTCAGTAATAGCTAACAGAACAAAGACTGGATGTAATGGCTTAAGTATGTGTTTCTCCGTCCCTTCTCATTTCTTACGAGGGACGTCCCTCTGTGGACTAGTAGTCATCGTGGTGTATGACTACAGGAATAAAATGGGTGATGAAAGCCATGGGCACTTGTTCACTTTCATTACCAGCATAGTACCATGAACAAAAGTCACAGTAATGATCCCCATGATCACAGAAACTCCTCCCTTAACTGCCAGGGACTCTCACCCTAGCCCTCAGAACTCACAGCTGTGAAGATATCAGTCATGATCACCACAGTGCCTGTATGAAACCAGATACCTTCCAACAGCTACACCCAAAGAGCTACCTGCAATAGGTGAAGGGCCAGGGTGCTGGTGATTGCAGGTACCATGCCACACACCTATGAGTAATCCTACTAACTAGTTTCTCTAAACTGAAGAGCAGTAGGGGAAAAAATATTAACACACAGCACTAGGACATTTGGGTACTTCCTCCGAAGGTACCTCACATAAAAAGTAAACTTCTTTAATGAAGTCTGTAGGCCTATGTGCTTGTTACTGCTCGTTTTCCCCCCCACCCCAATTACAAGCAAGAATCTGTCAGATCTTCATCTGTCATTTATAAAAGCAAAGGAATGATCTCTCAGTTTTAAATACACTAGCAAAGTCTTTGGTGCTATTCAGAAACAAATAATAAATAGAATTGGGTTCATAAATCAGAACTGGATTAACATTAAGCTTTATTAAGATCCCTAATGTGGAGACCAGAAGATGACGTAATGGTTATGTCGCTGGACTCTCTCATAGTCGATTGTGGCTCTAGTCCTAGACCAGGTGCATTTGTGTGCATGCCCAAGATCCTGAGAGGAGAATGAAGGTGAAGAGATTGTGGTGTGGCCATCCCCCCTGGGAAGTGATTTCTAGTTTTCTGTGTCTCTGTCTCTCTGTTTTTCTGGCAAGTGCACATGCCCTACAGCAAAAATCTCTCTCAAAAAAAAAAAAAAAAAAGAAAGAAAAAAAACCTCTAATGTGTAGACTATCTCATGTATTGATAATATTTTTAACTTTTACTTAATGATGTGTTTTTTTAATAACATTACAGATGAAATTGCCCAAATACCTCACGTTAACCTGTTGCAATGCTAGTGGGTAAAACTTTTTGGATCTAAGCTACTGTAGACAGAATCCTGCTATGTAGAACATACCACATTTCAAAGATCCCAGTAGAAGGGATTTCAATTCTTACAACAGTAGGCAGGAAGAAATAAATCTTACCTATGCTTTCCAACATTTTTTTTCAAATTCAGTGTTCTTCTCCACAATGATTAAAATGCCAACTAGAATGAAACTCTGGGGAGAAAACAAATGAAATGAAATGGTTACATTTTATCAGAACTTTATATTCTAAAACTAAATAGTATACAAAGCACTCGATACTACTATAATTTCTCTAATCACTAAAATCTTGACTTAAGTGAGTTCTCTTTATAGACAAAAAAAAAGGTAATCATTTTAGGATGTATTCCAAATGATCTTACACACATTTTTCTCATCATACTTGCATAATCAAGCAACAGACATAAATTGTTTAAATAAGATATTAAAAGTGTTTGAAATATTTCCTTATGTGGTTCTCAGCACAGACCGCTGTAACTATGGATTCCTTTAGAGATCCTTAATCATACACTAAGCTGCTTACTTGATTCTACAGAAGAAAAACTATGGGCAAAAGCATAAAAAGTACAAGGTGTGATCCTTCCCTCAAAGCTCACTGTCTTAACTGGGGAGAGAATACACACATACCAGTTAGAAATGAATCATGGCACTCAAGCAGCACGTGAATCGCTAGAAGGTAACACATTAAATTGTGGATGGAAAAACTAAATAAACGAGAGCACAGGGCCTAGCTAGTGGGGCAGTGCTGAAAACGATACGTTTTGCAGCAACCCCACATGACAAGGTCCCAGTTTGAGACCAGAGACTTTCCTGAGTATGGAGGGCATGCACCTGCCTGTGATCCTGGGCTGGCTGAACCTGAGAGTGGATAATGGTGTCAAGATCCTGATGGGGTGCTGTCCCTGCATGTCTCTCACTCTTTGTCTCTCTCACTTATGAAGGAAATAAATATGCAAACTAACAAAATGTATATAGTGTTAAATTTTTTCAAAGATTTTCAAAATACCCTTCTGCCTGTATGAAGGCTATACAAGAAGACTGCAGAAGGGCCAGAAGGTGATGTGGTGGTCAAGAGTGCTGGACCTCCACATGGCCAACTGTGCTTTGAGTCCTGAACTTGGCAGCTTGCTCTCTCTCTCTCTCTCTCCCTCCCTCTCTAGTCAAATTCAAATAAATAAATGAAGTTAAATAAAATAATTATTTAAGAAAAGTCTGCAGAAAAGTATTATGAAAAAACAATGCATAGATTTCAAATTTTTTGCTCAAAAATAAGTTCATATTTTACTTCCATTGTCCATGAATTTCTGACGTCTCCTCATGATGTTCTTTTATCCATGCAAAAAAAAAAAAAAAAACCTTCTTAGCTGCTTCAATTCACGCAGACCTCAAATTTCTCTGCCAGCACTGACCTAGTCTTTGAAGTGACAGATACAGACCTGCACTGACAATGTCCATGTCACTAACCCATCTTCAGCTTTAGCTGTCTAACAACTCTGCACAACTGTCTCCATAAGGACATTTATATTACATCAGGAAAGAGATATTGCTTCAAAAAATGGAGAAAAGGAAACTATAACCACATAACCTCATTCTTCATCTAGAAGGAAGAAACAGCGAATTTCTAGAGAAAGAAAAAGGTGCCCCCAGACCCCAGCCACCTCTTCAAAAAACTGCATTTGATGAAAAGGGCAGTGTGTGACGTTAGATGAGCAGATGCACAGAATGTCAATGCCGCCAATTAGCTCTGTCACAACAAGAGCACTGCGTATTGACTTTCCTTATCCCAATTTAGAATGCACTATTTAAAACATCAGCTCCATTTCAAATAGTCAAATAATTAGACTCCTGGCATTTGTTTTAAAAAGTGTCCTGGTGTCAAGAGGGCAATGAGTCTGATCTGGAATGGAAACCAAAGAAGCAACGTGGCCTTGAATAAGGGACCTACCATCTTAACCTCAGTTTTTCGGGTTTTTTTGTTTGTTTGTTTGTTTTACAAGAATTATTTATTTAATTTTATTTATTCATTGATTTATTTTAATTTTGACCAGCAAGACACAGAGAGAGAGAGAGAGAGGGAAAGTGAGAAAGCAAACTACCAGGTCTGGGATTCAAACCATGGTCAGCTATGTAGGAGTGCCCAGTGCCTTAACCACCATGCTGTCTGCTGGCCCCTCAGCCTCAGTTTCTTTATAAAATGAACCTATAGGGACAGCAAGTGGCATAGTATGTAAGGTGCTGGGCTCTCACATGGCTGATCATGATTCAAGTCCCAGACCTACAGGCTTGAAACACACAGGGCACCTGTGAGTGCATGCCTTAAATTCCAGGAAGAGAATGGAGGGCAAGGGACTGTGGCGTGGCCATTTTCTGGTTTGGAGACTTCTTGCTTTCTCTCTCTTTCTGTCTCTCTAGTGAGTGCATGCAGGCTACAACAAATATCTCTTAAAAAAAAAAAGAAGAAAACAATGGGTGTATTATGTTGAGATAAATAAGATGAATTAAATATTCCAACGTACAGCTTACAGCATAATTTATAACTACAGAATATATGTTCAGGATTAATGTTGGGTCAATATAAACAGGTATTCTAAAACCAGGCATTGCATGATTTCATAAGGCATAATATAGCTTAAAAATAAATTAGTGATTTTCTTAGTCTTATTTGCAAAGAGAATATAAGGCCCTTTCATAAAACAGCATATTTTAGTTCCCCTTCTCAAAAGAAACAAACAAAAAAACCATACAATTAAAAAATAAAAGTAAAGATACTCCAAAATAAGAAAGCTCAGATCCACAAAGGTATATTGACATAAACAACCCAGTAGGAAGCATGACAGCAATTAAAAAGCAGACAGCAATGGCTAGCAGGTGTATGTGTGTTACACACATATGAAAGAAATAAACAATAAAAAGAATATTCGAATAGTAGAAAAAAACTAGTTCCCTCTAGCTGCTATTCACATATTCCGCTTGTAGTCATATGTCTATTCAGTTATAACTGAACCTAAAGTCTGTTTCAGTAGCCACAGCACTCAAAACTACAGAACATATCAACCATCGATCCTCTTAAATCAGGCAAGGTGCAAATAATGTATTGTTATTATTGTTATAAAAGGGAAGAAAAATACTTGCTTGAGTAAAATTTAATAGGTACATGTTCATGCAGACACACATAGTGAGATGTGGAGGAGCAGGAGGACACTTAGAAAATCCCACTTCCCTACTTCTTACATATCTTTTACGTTTTCTTAATTTTCTATCTCAAGATAGGACTGCCAGGTTTTGCAAATGAAAATATGGGATGATTATTTGCTGGGGTTGAATATGTCCCCGCAAAATTGACCTGTTAAAACTTGATTGAGACAGTATCAAAAGGATACAAACTTACCCCGACTATGTGATTAAGAGGATATGAACTTTGTGTGTTTAAGGCGATACAAATTTATTCTGACTGTATGATTAAGATAATACACACTTACACACTTACTCTGACTGTGTGATTTAAGATGATACAAACTTACTGGGACTGTGTGATTAAGATGATACAAACTTACCCAACTGTGCAATTAAGAAGATACAAACTTACTCATAATGTGATTTAAAATGATACAAACTTACTGGGACTGTCCATTAAGATGATACAAACTTACTCTGACTGCCTGATTTAAGAGGATACAAACTTACCCAACAGTGCAATTAAGATGATACAAACTTACTCTAACTATGTGATTTAAGCTGATACAAGTTTACTCAGACTCTGATTAAGTTATACAAAAGTACTCAGACTGTGTGATTTAATAGGAAACAAATTTATTCCAATTGTATGATTAAGATGATAGAAACTTACTCAGACAGTAAAGACTATGCAAATTTACAGGGCCAGCAGGTGACATACTGGTTAAGGCGCTGGACTCCCACATAGCCAACTTTAGCTAGTCTTGGACCTGGAAATTTGCTTTCTCATTTTCCCTTTCTCCCTCACTTTGGACCTAGTGGTTTGCTTTCTCACTTTCCCTTTCTCTCCCTCTCTCTCTCTCTCTGTGCTCAAATAAAAAAATAATTATAATAAAATGAATACAAACTTACTCTATGTGCTTAAGGTAAAAACCTTTGGGAGGTGATTCAAACTAGATAAGGGTAGGGCTTCCATGAATAATGGTGGGGTTATAGGAAGTGTAATAAAATCCAGACAGAGAGGCATGGGCATAGAAACAAGTTCTCGCTCTCTCACCATACGGTGCCCTGCATTGCCCCAAACTCTGAAGAGTCTCCACCAACAAGAAAACTCTTACCAATGTTTCTCCTTTACCTTGGATGTCTAAAACCTGAAGCTGAATAAACCATTACTCTATAAATTATCCTGTCTATGGTATTCAATTATTAAGCTTTGGAGAACAGACTATACACTAGTTAAATATGAATTTTTTTTTAATTTAGTATATGACTCACATACTAGTTGAGATACACCTATACTAAAGACTAATTTGTACTTTATCTGACATTCAAAATTTAACTGAGGATCTGTCATTTTATCTGTCAATTCTACTTATGTGGACATTAGCTTAGAAAAATTAAATTTAAGTACAAGTGGATGGTGCAATGGTTACATTGGTGGATTCTCACACAGTTGACCACAGTTTGAGTCCTGGACCAAGCAGCTTAAAAAACTCACACCGGGCACAAGCACATGCATGCCCCAAATCCTGAGAATAGAGAAGGAATTGTAGTGTGGCCATTCTCCCAGGGGGGTGATTTTTCACATTCTCTCTGTCTCTCTGGTGAGTGCACATACCCTATAGCAAAAGTCTCTCATAAAAAACTTTTTAATTTAAATCATGCTTCATTTAAAGTCTCATACTTCCTATAAAATAACATAATTACAAAGTTACTGGATCATTAATAGATTTCTAAATATTTTTTACCTGTGACCATTATGATTCTCCAATAATTGGTTGATTACATTATTTTCACTAAAAGGGAAAAAAGCATACAAAATATTTGGTCTCACTTAGAAACAGGAACAAATTCATTGACTAATCATTATACTTTTCAACAAACTGTAGGGTGTGGGGGTGCCCACCCTGTGGCAAAAAATAAATAAATAAAAATAGAAAC